GATTCCTCAGCACTACATAAGCAGAAAAAACAAAAGCCAGAAGTGGCACCGTGGCTCAAGTGGTAGAGCGCTAGCCTTGAGCTGAAGAGCTGAGGGACAGCGCCCAGGCCCAGAGTTCAGGCCCACGACTGGACCCAAAAAAAAAAAGAAAGAAAGAAAGAAACAGGAAGCTTTTTGGTAGCAGCATTTACCTTGAAGGAAATTTATATTCATGAAGTAAAAGAAATTCTGTTTGAATTTTATTATCTGTTCAGATAATGTGTGTAGATGGTATGTATTAGGATTTTAAGGTTAATGAAAACAATGACTTTATCAGGCTTCTCTGTGTATGTGTTCTTAGACTCTTACATGATGCCCTCACAGACAGAATTAATCCTTATCAGGACTTTAGGTGATCTGTTTAGATATGTGTGTAGTAAGACTTAGAGAATTGAAGTAATTCTAATTCCTAAAGGGTCTTAGTAAGTGATAGAGTTAGGTTTTGATTCTAGGAGATTAAAGACTCTAAAATCAGTGGTTGCAGTAATTGTGGTTAACGAATGTGGTCAGAGCTGCTTATGTATTGGATCCTTTTGGTAATGGTCATGTAATGACAGGCAGTTCAGTCTGTAGCTTGGAGTTGATTTACCCACCATACACCATGGCTAAATTTAGCTGTCCTTATAGTCCTAGACAGGACTAGTTTTATTTCTTTCTTTGTTCTCTGGAGCTGGGTTTTGTGAGGAACTTGTGAGTGGGTAGCAGGTGCCTCTTTCTATGAAGTCAATTCTAAATGCTGCCAGTCGTTACCAGGAAAGCAGAGGTCCTGCTTTCTTTTCTTTAACAAGGTGATTTCCCTTGGTCTTCGCCTTCTGGGACCTCAGCTACTAATTTTTGCTTGTATTTTAGGAAAACATTCTCATTATAGAACCATGTGCCTAATCCCATTTCATGATTCTTGAAGAAATATAAACTATTTGAACAAGTTAAAGATTAATCAATTAAATGAAATGTTGGTTTCAGATAGTTTAAGAGCACCATTCCTTATCCCGGTTCTGTCTGCTTGTGACCCAGAGCAGGTGAGCACAGCAGGGATATATATAGTCAGAGAGAGAGAAGCCGCTTCCTTTAAAGCAGCTGCAGCTCACATCCCTCAAACTTCCGTGCTCTTTTGGCCTGCCTTGTATTGATCTCTGCCCAGGTATCCATAGTACTTTCCCGAAGTCATTTCAATTCAAAATACATTATAGATTTCTTTTCTTTTCTTTTTTCTTTCGTTTTCTTTTTTTTGTCAGTTGTGGAGCTTGAACTCTGGGCCTGGTCACTGTCTCTGTGCTCTTCAGCTCAAGGCAAGCACTCTACCACTTGAGCCATAGCGCCCCTTCTGGTCTTCTGGTCGTTAATTGGAGATAAGAGTCTCATGGACTTTTCCTAGCCTCAGATCTCAGCCTCCTAAGTAGCTAGGATGCAGGTAGGAGCCACTGGCGCCCAGTTCAGTTACAGATTTCTTAAGTGCCACAAACTGTGTTCAGCACTGGTCATGCTACACAGATAAGTAAAAACCAGGTAGCGCCCATGATCTACATTCTTGTGCTGACTCTGGGTGTCATCACTGGGTCCTTGACTTTGAATGAGTCATTTCTCTATGCCTCAACCCCTTATCAGTAAAATGAGGCAATAATCCCTGCTCTCTCCATCTCAGAGTTGTTCTGAGTTTACATAAAGTAGGAAGATTAGAGTCGAGTCCCTGCCCAAAGCATCTTTAAACAGGAAGTTGCACGTGTCACCGCCTTTAATCCTATATCACAATGCTTGGGAGTTTAGCTCTCCTTTATGTACCAGACCTCCTCTTACTCCCATTTTGTCCACTCATCCACACAATAGGCTTCAGTCTAGCTATGCAGAGCTACTAACATTCCACTGCTACCTCCACTCCCCGTGCCTCTGATCTTATTTTTTTATTTATTTAGATACTGGGACTTGATCTCAGGGCCTGGGCACTGTCCCTTAGCTTTTTTCACTCAAGGCTGATGCTCTACCACTTGAGCCATGGCTCTACGATCTCAGATCTCAGTCTCCTGAGTCACAAGTATCACAGGTGTGAGCCATCAGTGTTGTAAGGGTGAGAAAACAGAGAAGCCACATTTTGAAAGATTAAATCAGGAGTCTTTATTAAAAGGCCGGTGACTGCATGCTTTGAGACTCTTGTCTCAAAGACCAGCAGCCAGCAAATACACTTAACACTGCTAGAAAACAGAGCCATGAAGGCCAGAGAGGAAAGAAAGAACAAAAACAACACTAACAAACCAAATTCAGCTCCAATGGAGAGCTGAAGTGGAATGCCATGGTGACTGAAAAAGAGACAGGACATGAGCACAGAGGCGTGGCATAGTGCTGTCTGAACTGGTCTGGGCCTAAGGTTAGGTCTGGGGACAGAGTTACAGGAAACATCCAGTCCCAGGCACCAGACTGACAGGTTTACTAAACTATCAGCCAGTGCCCACCCCCTGCCTCCAGGGAGGCAGAACATCATTTCCCCCCCACCCCCACCCCCCTCTATGAAGACAAGATACCAGACCCTACCATCGACCATGTGGCCAAGATGGCACTGGCCAGACCCAATCACCCTATTTCACTGGCACCTGGCTTTCTTTTTTGTTGGTGGTGGTGGTGGTAGTGGTGGGGATGGTGGTTGAGGGGCTTGAACTCAGGGCCTAAGCTTTTTTGCTCAAGGCTAGGTTAGTGGAGCCCTCAGACCACTTCCACTTTTTGAGTGATTAGTTGGAGATAAGTGTCTTACAGAATTTCCTGCCTGGGCTGTCTTCTAACCACAATCCTCAGATATCAGCCTCCTGAGTAGCTAGGATCACAGGCATGAAAACAGTGCTTGGCTGCACTGCTTTCCTAAGCCATATTGGACCCCAGCTCCTTCTTAAAGGGCAGTATATTTCATGCTTTTTGTGTTTAGTGCATTGTTCTGTGTCTTGATTCATGCCAGAGTCAATCATAATAACATCATTTTGTTTATTGAAAGGACCCCACTCTGTGTTGGGACATCTTCTGAGCATTGGACATACATTTTCTATTATTTGATCCACCTAACCATCATTCTTACAAACCACTATTTGGATTTTGGCAGATGAGGAAGCTGAAACTTAGTCTGCTTGCCTTGCTCACACAATAAGTCACTGGCAAAGCCAGGAAAAGAAGAGAAGTCTGTCCACCCATGAAGCCTGGGCTCTATGGCCTTCCTTCCTCCCTCCCTCCCCGGGGGACTGCCACTCTCACGATTTTTCTCTGTTGGCCTTGGCAACAGCAGGCCTCTGCCTGCTCCAGAGGCTGATAAGTAGCATATATTTTACAAGAGCATATTGTGCGGTTCCCGTGACAGATTATTGACAGATTATTGACCAAATGAGAGGTATTATGAACTGAATTTGTGCTTCTGTCAAAGTATGAAACATATGAATAATGTTTGTATATTCCCAAATTCATGGATTCTTTTTTTTTTTTTTTTTGGTCCGGTTGTGGGGCCTGACCTCTGGGCCTGGGCGCTGTCCCTCAGCTCTTCAGCTCAAAGCTAGCGCTCTACCACTTGAGCCACAGCCCCACTTCCGGTTTTTATCTTTTTGCTCATGTGGTGCTGAGGAATCGAACCCAGGGCCTCAGGCATGCAAGGCAAGCACTCTACCACTGAGCCACCTTCCCAGCCCAATTCATAGGTTCTTAATCTAGGACCATGGATGGGCCTTGGGCCTCCTAAGCCCTCTGAAAGGGTATGTAGCTTATTTCATTGTAGGGAAAGGGGAAGTTGGCATCTCTTCTCATACACAGAAAGCCTAGTTGCTTAGGAGACTTTCAAAATGGTGCTTCCCCGAAGCATTAAAGAACCACTTCCTCATCGCAGAAGGGTAGAAAATTCTGGCACCTATGTTAAAAATGCAGTCTTCCTCCAAGAATTTGGTAGGGACCAGTACCTTTAAACAGAACGAGGGCTGGGCATGGAGGCTCATACATGTAATCCTTGCTGCTTAGAAGGCTGAGATTAGAAAGATGGCAGTTCAGCGTTTGCCAAGTTGGAAAGTTTGTGGGACCCCAATTACAGCAGAAAAAGCTAGGCAAAGATGGGCACTAGTGGCTCATTCTGTAATCCTAGCTATTCAGGAGGCTGAGATCTTTAGATCACCGTTGGAAGCCAGCCTGGGCAGGAAAGTCTGTGTGACTCTCCAGTCAACCATTAGAAAACATGAAGCGGCACTGTGGCTCAAAATGGTAGAGCACTGACCTTGAGCAAAAAAGCTCAGAGATCTGAGTTCAAGCCCCAGGACAGGCCTGCCCCCTCCCCCAAAAAAGCTAGGTGCAGTAGCACGTGCCCATCATCCTAGATATGGTGGGGCCTCAAATTCACAATCCTCCAACCTCAGCTTCCTTAGTGCTTTAATGACAAGAGACACCATCACACTTCAATTTCCAGGTCTGTGTTTTTAATGGCCAAGAGACAATGCCTGTTTGAAGGCAGCACAGCGGAGCTAGTGGATAGGACGCAGTTACAAGACTGAGGTGGCGACAGCAGACTTTGGATGGAGTCTAGTGGCCTGGCCTCAAAGCCTTCCAGCCCCTGATCTTCCAAGCCCTTATCTGTGATCAACCACATAGCCTCCTCATACCTAAAATGAGGGAGATAAAATAGCTCCTCCTCCACCCTACAGAGCGATTATGAGCACATTTAGCAGCAGTATTGGCGTGGGCTAAATAAAATGGTATATGATGGTGATGATGCTGATAGGATTTGGAGTCAATTATAAAAAATAGGAGTTAGGAGGGAGACATTTGTAAGGTGTTTGCTCTGACACTGTCAGGAAAAGCCTTGGGTACTTTACAGTGTCTTGGGCCTTTGCGGGTTCTGATCCCCAGTGGGGAAACACATTTTGCCTAGTGACCTGGCCCAGGTGGTAAGTGCTGGCAGTGAAGCACGAGCGCATCCTGATTCTTCACAATTCGTGCTGTTGTTTATCCTACAGATTAATCAGAAAAAGCTGAAAAAATATGAGAAAGAATATCACACCATGAGAGAACAACAGGCCCAACAGGAAGACCCCATCGAGCGATATGAGGTTTGTTTGCTTATGGCTGGATGATGTCGGAGCTTGAGGATTTTCACTCCATACTGTCTGTAACTAGCTTTATTGAATCTAGGGCTTGAACTCAGGCAGGCCTTGAGCTTTTACGCTCAAGACTGGCAGCCATTCTGTCACTTCAACCATAGCTCCACTTCAAGGCCTTAGGGTGGTTAATTGGAGAAAAGAATCTCACAGACTTTTCTGCCTGGGCTGGATTCAAATTGTAATCCTCAGATCTCAGCCTCATAAGTAGCAAAGATTACAGACATGAGCTACTGCCACATGACTATTGATTCCTTTTTAAAGTTCACTCCTCCTGTTTCTAGACTTGTTTGCATTTGAGTTTGCAAATGAGAAAGCAAGATCTGTTTTGCTTCTAGTCAGTTGCCCAGTTGTTACACTTCAGTGGCCTTTCCTCACGGTTACAAAGAAGTAGCTTCATGATAAGGTCACTTGAATCAGTTAAGTACTTGTTTGTGGGGAGATACAAAATAAGAAACTACTCATTTGGAAACATGTTAGGACCAGTCACATGTCTTTGTGATTTCTGAGGGATCCAAGAATTGTTTTTGAAATTTGGCCTTGAGGTATTCTTGTTTCCACTTGACTTTTTTTTTTTTTTTTTTTTGCATTCTGTAATTGTTTTTTTTCTGCTCTTCAGCGGGAAAATAGGCGCCTACAAGAAGCTAACATGAGGTTGGAACAGGAAAATGATGACTTAGCTCACGAGTTGGTGACCAGCAAGATTGCCCTGCGGAAAGACTTGGATAATGTAAGTGATGGTTTGTAGGGAAAGCTCACACAGGCCAGCTTGACCTCTGTGAACACGTGAAGTCCTGGGAGTTGGGTGTTTGCGGTTTGCCTTCCCTGTAGACCTGCCTCTGGAGAGACAGTGGGACGGCCGTTCTCTCACTCCGCTTTCCTCGCCCCTTTTGTTTCCGCGCCCAGAGTTCCTGAGGTGCTTTCCTAACAATATTTATTTATTACAGTCTCTTGAATTCCTCCCTAACAGGAAGAAAATGTGTTATCCTGCATATCTGGGGCTTTTTTTAAATTTGGAACAGTTTGCCTGAGCGACAGGTTAATTTTATTAGTAGCTTCCCTTGGCAGAGATTCTGTCATCCTTCCGTCTTTGCTTCTGCTAATCTTAAAGGTTTGGAGATGGATGGCTTTCCGGCAGGAAGCGTTTCTATTTTCTAGACTACAGGCCTCCCTTAGAGGAAGTACAGTCTCACTGGCTCCTGTCAGGGCTGGCTTATTCTGTAAAGGGGTAGTAAATATGTAAGGCTTTGTGGGCCTTGCTTTCTCGCACCACTACTTAACCATGACCTTGGTATCAAAGCAAGATGTAAAGGAACGATATGGCTGTTTTCCAATAAGAACTTTTTTTTACCAAACTTAAGTGGCTTGAATCTGCCATCTTTCAGTTAATACATGTGCATACACTTACCTGCCACCCAGTCTAGCTTTCACAGGTAGGGGAAAACATGCATCCTTTGTCTCTCCAGTCCTGACTTAACATCATTTTTTGCAAGTCTTTCCATTTCTTTGCAAATAGTATCGTAGGCCGGGCACCGGTGGTTCACACCTGTCATCCTAGCTACTCAGAAGGCTGAGCTCTGAGGATCATGGTTCAAAGCCAGCCCAAGGTAGGAAAGTCCACGAGATTCTTATCTCCAGTTAACCACCAGAAAACCAGAAGTGGCACCGTGGCTCAAGTGGTAGAGTGCTCACTTTGAGTGGAAGAGCTCACAGAAGGCACCCAGGCCCAGAGTTCAAGCCCCATGACAAAAAAAAAAAAAAAAAAGAACAAATGGTAGAGTATCATTCTTTCTAACGGATAAGTGTGTGTGTGTGTGTGTGTGTGTGAGTGAGTGTGTGAGTGTGTGCGTGTGTATTATAATACACACACCACATTTTCATCCATTGAGAGACATCTGGGCTGATTCCATACCTTGGCTGTGGTAGAGTCAAGAGAGAACTCAAATAGTATAATTCCTTTAAAAGGCAAAATCAAAGTTGAGCAAAATAAAACACCAGGAAGTGGGTACTTGAAAGGGGTAGGGTGGGGTCAAGGGAAAAGGAGTAGGCAAATGAAGAAAAGAGGGGGATAATTCAGCCAAGAATCTAATGTATATCTTACAAAATTAAGAAGAGTGGGGAAAGGGGTGGGGAGGGGAGGGGTGAGAGAAAGCGTTGAAAGGGTGACACTGATCAAGCTACAGTATACTCATAAACCACTTGTTATTTTGGAAACTCGTGTACAAATACTTCTAGGTAATTTTTAAAAAAATAAACCTAAGTGGCACACACTAGATTTGGCCCCTAGACTAGTTTGCAAGCTCCTGTTTTTCTACCAGGCTCCTAGGATCACTCTAGTGCTTTAGGTTTCCTCTGGGCCTGAAGGTTGGCCCAGGCTGCTTAGAGCTTACATCCAGTACTTACATTTTATCCGAGTATTGAACTCCAGCGAGCCAGCCAGCGTTGGGAGGATCTTGCCATGCACCAAACAGGCAGAAATTCTGCAACTAGTCTATTTCTTTGAAAGTCTATGCTTTCATTAGCTTCTCAAACATGAGAAAAGGAGATGGTATCAGCTGCTCCTGCATTTTAGAAATAGAATAATCCACTATACCTGATACTTACATAACCAATTCCAACTCGTATGTTATTCCATGGGATATCTTTTTCTGTCCTTTCACTTTTAGCATATCTATCTTTGCTTTGTCCAAATGGGAATTTGTCTTCTACTTGTGTTTGCTTTTTTTCTGCTTTACTGCAATCTTTGGTTTCATTGCAAGTTTGTGTGTTGCCTTATAAGTTGTTCTAGGATTCCTCTTTCTCCAGAGCTCTCCCTGACAGCTTCCAGCAACGTCAGCTATCCCCATGCCCCTGTCCCCAGTGCCTCTAACCTGTGGAGTCCATCATGCTCTCTGGAGGACCCAGGTGGAAGTCTGATGTTACTAGGAGGCCATTTGTTTTTCTCCCATGACCAGTTTGCATTTTCTGTTTTCAGTAGGAGGATAAGTCTGTTCCCTGTTGATCTTCAGGAGTATGGGTTTACGTTTATTAGGCTCAGGTGTTCTCCCTTTTTTTGGTTATGTGAATAAACTAGGGTGCCATCACAAATGGGTGCCATCAGAGCAGTCCAGTTGGGTGAGGCCAGTAGCTTCTGTATACCTTCCCATTGCCATGGGGCTGATTGTGGGGGCCGGTAGGACACATACTGGGCAGTCACATGACATGCAGCTGCCAGCAGTGCTGCAGAGACAGCTCAGGAGAAACACCTCTCTGCCTTCCTTCTGCGTAAGCCGGGAGTCATGGCGGTCAGAAAAGTCTCTTGAGATAGGAAACCCAGTTCATCACTTGACTGTTCCACACATCTCAGTCAGCCCACAGCAGTGCTGAGTACAGGAGGAAGCATGTGTGCCTGTGCACTGCAGTAATAATGCAAGAGGCCAGCAGTCCAGGCAGAAATGATAAGTTCCACTGATGACAGTACTGCTGGTCACAAGGGGGACTGGCATAGCAAAGAGGAAATGCAAATAGATTATTTGCAACTATGAGTGAAACCTTTTGGAATTGTTTTGGGAAGGAAGGAGGGTAGAGCAGGGAGTGGTAGAGTGGTGAGATTGATTGGAATACATTATAGACATGTATGGAAAAATAACAATGAAATCTCCTAACTAATGGAACCTATTCTGAATAAAGTCGACTTATGAGTACATGGAATAAAAACATCAGGCACCAGTGGCTCACACCTATATAGTCCTAGCTACTCAGGAGGCTGAGATCTGAGGATCGCAGTATGAAGCCAGCCTGGGCAGGAAGTCGGTGAGACTCTTATCTCCAGTTAACCACCAGAAAACCGGAAGTGGTGCTGTGGCTCAAGTGGGTAGAGTGCCTTGAGCTGAAGAGCTCAGGGACAGTGCCCAGGCCCAGAGCTCAAGCCCTACAACTGACCAAAAAAAAAGTAGATTACTGTAAAGAGCATTTATAATGCTTTTAATACTTCATAGGACAAATGCAAAAAAATTAAATAAAAAAGACAACGAATACACACGTTCCACTGGTGCCAAAGGCTTGAACCCACGGCCTCATGCTTGTCCTGCTTATTTGCTCTATCACTTGAACCACAACTCTAGCCTGGCTTTTTGCTAGTTATTTTGGAAATGTAGCCTCATTTCCCTATTTAAGGTTCTAGCCTTGTTCCTCCCAAAGAAGTGAGAGGAAGTAGAGTGGAGCAGAAAGCTCAGGAGCCCCACTCCACCATGTTGAGTAAGTGATGCCAGAAATTCTGTTTCAGAAAACCAGCCTCCCTCGCCAGGAGGCAAGAAGGTTAACTGCCTGGCCCAGTAAAGCCTTCTTACCTGGTCTTTGTTTTCCCCTAACACACTAGTCACTCACCAGTTGCCCTTCTTGGAGGGACCAGCTATCAGAATCCACAGAATTTTTTCATGGGACTCAAAAGCCCACCCACAAGACATTGGTATCTGTTCTAGAGTAGAACCTAGCCATTAAAAATAATCAAAGGGGCCGGGCGCTGGTGGCTCACGCCTGTAATCCTAGCTACTCAGGAGGCTGAGATCTGAGGATCACGGTTCAAAGCCAGTCCGGGCAGGAGAGACCGTGAGACTCCTCTCTCCAATAAACCACCAGAAAACCGGAAGTGGCGCTGTAGCTCAAGTGGTAGAGTGCTCGCCTTGAGCTGAAGAGCTGAGGGACAGTGCCCAGGCCCAGAGGTCAAGCCCCATGACCGACAAAAAAAAAAAAAAGATAATCAAGGGGGGCTGGGAAGGTAACTCAGTGTTGCCTTGCATGCATGAGGTTCTGGGTTCAATTCCTCAGCACCACATAAGCAGAAAAGGCTGGAAGTGGCACTGTGGCTCAAGTGGTAGAGTGCTAGCCTTGAGCTGAAGAGCTGAGGGACAGCGCCCAGGCCCAGAGTTCAAGCCCCACGACCGACACACACAAAAACAAAAGATAATCAAAGGAAGTGTCTGCACTGGGGGCAGTTTCCTTAACAAGAGTGAAATGCAACACATGTTGGATGAAGCAAAAGAAATGTTGTTCAGAAGAACACCAGAGCACATCATTATTATTAAGATTGACATATTCACAAGCTTTGGGCTCAGATGCAGAGCGTGAAGCTTAGAAAGGTTTTCAGTGACTTGTCCAGTGGTGCTTGGTCAGTGAACAGGGAGAGCTAAACTCAGCTACCTGCTGCCAAAAGCTGAGCTCCTCGGCACCATCTTGCACACACGCCCATGTGAATCTAGTCCCAGCGTTCCCACTTAGAGCCATTTTCCTATCACTTCCCATCCCTGTGTCCAGGGAATTGAAACCCTTTCTAGTTCTAGGTTTTTACTTTGTTCTCATTACTGACTTGGGTTCTCGGTTCTTCTTTATGTTTCAGGCTGAAGAAAAGGCTGATGCACTGAATAAAGAGCTGCTGATGACCAAACAGAAACTGATCGAAGCGGAAGAAGAGAAGCGCCGGTTAGAGGAGGAGTCTGCTCAGGTGAGAGGATCCGGCCGTTGTTGTGTTGTCCCCCCCCCTCCCCCCGCCTTCCCACCAATGCCGGCCAGTGGAGATTTTAGCTGAAAAATGGGCACTGGAGACAACTGCCTGTAGTTTCTGCCCAAGGACCTTTTTTATTTATTCTGTAAAACATAGTGGTTTTCTTACCATGAAATCCTACAAGGAGGCAGCGGGGCTTTGAGGTGGGTTGAAATTCAGCATGAAAAGCAACACAAAAGGGAGCCCGCTCCATGGGCACAGACTGGCCTGACTCCCAGAATGTACCGAGCATGTGCCCTGGCAACCTCCCCTTCCCTCGGGGTCCTCCCAGGTCACATGGTGCTGAGCGCTGCTCTGGCCCCGCTCTGCCTGCCCGGCCCTCGCCGAGGATAGCAAGAGGCCACAGCTTGGATGGTCACACGAGCAGGGAAGAGCTGTGGAAGCCCACGGGCGCTGAGAGTCTGTTTTCTCCCTCGAGAACAGAATTAGTGCTGCCAAGGGCAGAAGAATGGGGAAGCAGAGCTGTCTGGTTAGCCGATTCCAATTTTTTTCCCCTCCGTATTCACTTTTGCTTTTGTATGTGGTCAGTTAAAGGAAATGTGCCGCCGGGAACTCGACAAGGCAGAATCGGAGATTAAGAAAAACAGTTCCATCATTGGTGACTACAAGCAGGTGGGTCCCTGCGCCCTGAGCCCGGCCGGGTGTGGTGGGGGTGGAACGTGTGTCCCATGCCCTGGTGGGGAAGGACATTGTCTCCAGACCTCGCTGCACCTGCTTGTGTCCCGTGTGCACACAAAAGGACGTTTGTACCGCGCCTCCCATTGCAGCGTCCAGCAGGTGGTGAGTGAAAGCCAGGGGTCTGGAGAGCAGTTCCAGTTCCGAATGACGGACTGATGGCCACTAATGGGCTAAAGCAGTTCTCTCCAAGGCAGCTCGTTCTTTAGAACATATCGGATCAATCTTTCTCCCCCTCTCTGCTGGGATCTCATGCTGGTTGGGAGGCTGGCACAGCTGGAGCAGCCTCTGCTTGACAAAGCCACACCCTCCGGAACAGTCTGTCTGCTGAGAGCTGCATTGAAGAGTTTATCTCAGTTGCAGATTGTGCAGATGACTACATCATTCAAAAGATTGCGGTTTTGTTTGTTTCTTTAGATTTGTTCTCAACTGAGTGAAAGATTGGAGAAGCAGCAGACAGCTAATAAAGTGGAAATTGAGAAAATTCGGGTAAGATTTCCTCTGCGGAAAAGATTTTACATCACCTAGTTCATGTTATGGCTGTCTTCAGCACAGCAGGATTTGGGAGGGAAGCTGGCTGGGGGAGTGGCTGGCGTGGTGGAGCACTGGGCCTGACATGCCAAGGCCCTGGTCCAATCCACACTAGCAGCACTCCCTCCAAAATAAATGACACGAGCTGCAGTGTATCAGATGAGGTACCTGTCTACTGTCAGTGACTGACAACTCCCACACCCTTTACCTCAGTTCAGATGAGACCAAAAGAGCCCCAGCTTTCAATCTTAAAGTCCCAGCGCCCAAGGACAGAGAATGTCATCAGGAAGGTAGTCAGCGGCCAGGTTGCTTGGCCAGGACAAATGGGATAGCCAGTATAGTTCTGCAGGAGGGAGGGGGAGGGAACAGGTGTGCCCCCCCCACACCCCCTTGTTCTGTGGAGACTCTTCTGCAGTCGTGGGATCCAAATACAACGAAGACCTGCCGTGTTTTCCTGATAGGGGAATGGGGAGAGTGACTGGTACTTAACTTCTATTTCTACTAGATTGTGATATTTTGCAAAAGGAGCAATTTAGTGAAAGATGCCTTACTTACGTATTTACAACTCAGGGACGGGAATATAGCAGAGACCCATGCTCACAGACTTTACACACCAAGAATGAGATGGCGCTGACCTCCCCTCAGCATAACCAGAGGCACCATTTTCTTTTTCATCTTTATGTGCTGCTACAAGACTTTAATAAAGCTCTTTTTTAGGTGGTGAAGAGGAATAGCTGGGGGTTAAGCACAGGGCCTTGTGCATGCTAAGTGATACTCAATCACTGAATCACACCCAAGCCCTGACCTTAGGGCTATGTTCTCTTAGTTGTTCTGTTGACCCTAATGAGCAAATGGATGGATGGATGGATTTTGGGGGAGTAGGGGGGAGGGCAGTACTGAAGTTTGAACTCAGGACTAGGTAGATACTACTGCTCAAGCCTCACCTCCAGCTAAAGTTTCTAAGACTGGCATTTAATTTTGCATTTACAGTTCTAAAATTGGGATGTTTTATAGTGGATTGCTTATTTTCTGATTTGATTGGCAGAATATCTCTTAGAAGAACTAAAAGTGATTTTTATATTCAGTAACATCCTATTTTGTTGAAATACAGAATATTAACTTGTGAGCATATTTTATATACTTTTTGGAGCATGCCTTTAGTGTTTAATTTCCTATGTTACAAAAAAATTTTCCTCAAGGGTTTTTAGAGTCTACATCCTACCTTGAAGAAACAGCTCCCACTTGGACAGTTTCGGTATCCCTAATTCCATAGGGAAAAAAATCATTGTACACAAAGCTTTATCTCAGCGCAGCCTCATCTTGGCTAGCCTGTGTTTCTAACAGTGCAACTTCTAGATCAGATGTTGGGCAATTGGTATTTTGGTATGGAATGCCAGGTATGTTGCCTGTCAATTTCCAAAGACAGGCAAGCTTTAGAACCTGTGGTGCACAGGTGAGACATCGACCTTTGGCCCCTAGAGGTCCCAACACCACCTTGAACAGCGGCTCCTCTGCCCTCTCACCTCTGCCCTTGAATTTCAGCAAAAAGTAGATGATTGTGACCGCTGCCGGGAGTTTTTCAACAAAGAAGGACATGTAAAAGGCATCGCCTCAAGCAAGGAGGTTTTAGATGCAGACACAGATGAAGAGAAGGAGACACTCAAGAACCAGCTAAGAGAAATGGAGCTGGAACTGGCGCAGACCAAGCTCCAGTTGGTGGAAGCCGAGTGCAAGATCCAGGTAATGGCGGCGGCTCGCAGCACACACTGTGGAACGTGTTCTGTGATGTGGACTAGAATTCTCCCTCACGGACACACACATAAAATGGACTTGTGTGGGCTTACGATCTTCTCTCCAACCTCTTTTTAATTTTGAGTGTAATCCTCATGGGAGAAACAACACTTTTTGTTTTTGTTAAAATTCTCTAGTTTTAAATTTTACTGTTTTTATTTGAAAATGCTAAAAAACAGATGGGTTACAATTACGTAAGTCAGGCAAAGAGTACAATACTTTTTATCAGTGGATGTTTAATTAGTAGCCTGTCCTAAGGATTTGTATTTTATAAAATTTAAGATTACCTACATAGTTTCCATCTCTTTAGTGGTACACAGAACACATGCCTTAAAATCACACAGCTCAGCAGGGCACCAGTGGCTTACAACATAATCCTAGCTACTCAGGAGGCTGAGATCAGAATCACAGTTCAGTTCAAAGCCAGCCCAGTCAGGAAAGACAGAGTCTTACCTTGAATTAACCACCAAAAATCCTGAACTAGAGCTGTAGCTCAAGTGATAAAGTGCTAGTCTTGAACAAAAGATCTAAGGAACAGTACCCAGACCCTGAGTTCAAGTCACAGGCCTTGTGCACACACAAAATAAGTAAAATCACACAGCTCTACCCACTTGGTGAAGGGGGTGGGGAGGAAGGGGATGTTACTGGGCCTTTAATTCAAGCCCTTCTACCACGGGAGCCACCCCTCCAGCCCTTTTTTGCTGTAATTTTCAGATTTTGTGCTTCTTGCCTTGGACTTGAATCCCTTAATTATGCTTCCCATGTGCTAGGATTACATTGTCATATTTGGCGTGTTCTTTGCCCACTTTTTTGCCCCAACTTGATAGGATCTATAATCCTCCTAACTCTCATCTTCCAAGTAGCTGGAATGACACATGTAATCTCACCACCTCTGGCTTGCAGCGCTGACATCTTGGACCTCAACCTAGGTAGTAGCCTTACACCACCACAGGTTGTCCCAGTCTTCTGTCAGGCCGGTTTGAGCACTAGGATGTGCAGACAAGGCTGAGCACAGCAACAAGGTTCTATTCCTTGACTCCCATCACACAACCAGCTCAGAACCTCCATGCTGGTGAGGAATCTGGTTTTTGCTTTTTTTTTTTTTAATCTTTCTGCTACATTGCTAATCCTGCCAGCACCAACACCAGGCAGGTGTAAGGCCACGGGCAGCCCTCCCTTACTGCGTGTGTCCCAGGTGGCACTAGATAGCAGCTGGTGGGACTGCCAGGGACCCTCTGGAGCAGCGTCTCGGCGTGTCTGAGCTGTGATCAGAGCGGGCGGCATGGTGCTCAGAGGGAAAGGACAAGGAGCATGCCTGGCAGGAAGCACCACCCACTGCCAGTGCGGGGAGGGCCTTCCATGAAGGATCCTGGAGGTGCTTCTGTGCTGCGGCACAGTGAGGCAGGTGCTGATACGCAGGTAAAGGGCACGTGCGGCCCAAGTTAGCATCTCAAATGCCTCATCCCCTCGTTCCTCCCACAGGACTTGGAGCACCATTTGGGCCTTGCCCTCAATGAGGTGCAGGCAGCCAAGAAGACCTGGTTTAACCGAACGCTGAGCTCCATAAAGACAGCCACTGGGGTTCAAGGCAAAGAGACTTGCTGAGAGCAGCTGCCTGCAGAGAACACGCCACCTCTTGTTGCCTTCCTTGGCCACGTGTGTGATTCTGTGACTTATTCCAGGACCAGAATGTACCTAAGTGGAATCCATGATGCATACTGGTGGGTCGTTGGGCCAGAGCTGCTGAAGCAGGCAGCCGCTGGGTAAGGCTGTCCTCACCACTGACACCAACAGGCCTGCCAGCCCAGCTGAGGCTGGGGACACACTCCAGGAGTCACTCCGTGGAGGCCCACACCGCGCCCAGCATAAAGGCCGTTTACATGATCAGAGTTGGGGATCCTTCAGTGTGTTGATTTTTTTCTAAACCTTTTTTTTAAACAAATATACATATTATATATATACACACACACATATGTATATATGTATATGTGTACACATACATGTGTATGTGTGTATATACGTGTGTGTGTGTGTATGTGTTTGTGTTGGGGGGTAGGGGATCGGAAATTAGAATAATTCTTACCTGTCAGTGCCAGCAGAAATCCTCCCGGGTAGACATGGAAAAGCACTTTGTTTGAAGTAGGAAGGTTTCATAGACATAGCAGAAGCCATCTAGTTGCGCTCACCTATCCCATGCACAGGTTTGGGCTTTGGTGTTCTTCACGTCTCTGATCAATTCTATGCAACTCTCATAGTCCTGTCATCTTTTAGCACTAGCTGCCAGAACTGACTTTACAAGGCTGGACTGGGCGACATGGCTATGAGACTGGATTAATCATAACGTGGACAAATCTTATTTTGCTTAATGTGTCATGTGTACATACATATAAATATAAATATAAATATAACTACCTTCCCCCAATACAAAGTTGACAGTGTTGAACTCCCAGACTCGGGCTGCTGAGCCGCACCGCTTCCTCCTGCGGTCACTTGGGCACTTACCTTCACCCCTGCCTTCACTCCCTCACTTAAGGGTTCCTAGTGTGCACACGTGAGGAGGGCTGAGCTGAGCTGTGGGGTTGCTGGGCTCTGAGCCCTCCCTCCCGGGGTGGCCAGGTGCAAACCTCACTGTCCAGGTGGGCTGTAGGTTTTCACTTCACAGGTATGGAATGGAGGTTTTTAGCACCTTTTTATTGAGAGGAACTTTAGAAAGCCTTTGAGTTAATTTATCTGGTGATATGCTGACAGACCGCCCCGCAGGTGTTTCGTCCTTTGCTTGTGCTCTGTGAGGTAGCTGCTTCCGTGGCAGTGGTTTGTATATAAGGACCCTCGGCTCGTTTCCTGTCTGTTCTGTTGGCCGTAATGAGGCTTGCTGAGGTCACTGTGACAGGAGAAAGTGGCAGCCCCTCCCCCAGACCATGCCCTCTGCTGCTTCCTGTGTCCTTGTTCAATTACCAAAACAGCTGTAAGCTCATCTAATAATAGGTGTGTGAACATTGTGCTAGGGTAGTTTGCGTGTCAACTTTATGAACTGAAACATAAACCAGTAAAACTGTATTACTAATTCCTTTGTTGGTTTTATTTTAACAGCATACTCATTAAATATTTTGGTACAAACAGCATTGCTTTGTAGCAGTCAGTTGTATCACTCCCTGCTCCAAACCCCCTTCCCCTGCCCCCACTCCAGAGGCTGGTTGGAGAGGGCCAGACCCAGAGAAGATTCAGACTCTGGCTTGAGAGAGTGAGCCTTCACAGCTGTGAGTGTGGTGCTGCCTGGGAAATACGGTGCTGGGGGTCACAGGTGACACACCTCGGTGTACTGGAGTTCCAGGAGGTCTTGGGACAAGGATGGCGTTAGATCTGTAAAGACAAGTCTCATCTCACTAGGCAGAGATGGGAGGACGCACCAGGGCTGCAGGGCATTGTCCGTAGAAACAGCTACAGAATGGAAAAGCAGTCCAGTCACCTGCCAGCTTCTAAGAAAAGTGGTGGCAGGCACATCTTAACGACAGTCGTCCCCTTTCTTCACCACATCCCAGCATGGTAGGGGCTCTACCACGCAGCCCTCTTGTCTGCAGCAGCAGGAGGAGTGGCCTTTGAGTAGCAGCTCCCTCCTTCAAGAAGGGAAGTTAGTAAGGGGGCGGCTGCCTGGCAGTGAGGCTGGAGAAGTGTCCAAGCAATAGCAGGCACTCACTCCTGCAGAGGCCTGGACAGGGCACAGGCTGGGGGTCCACATTGCTGGCCAGCCTGCTCCATGTTTTCCAGGTCCTAAACACCATGTTTAACAATGTAAGGACTCAACAGAAATCCTCATTCTTCTAGCTGTGCACTGGCCAAGAGAAAGGCATTCAAACACAGTCCAATTTCAACGTGGGCCAAATAACTCAGATAAAGGGTATGGCCTCTGGTTGAAACCGGGAGTGAAAGTCATTGTAATTGCTTATGGTAAGTACTGTACACATGTTCAAGTCCCTGTGCACTGAAGTGTGTCTGCAAAGGAGACAAAAAAAAATGGCAGTGCCACCACTCTGCACTAATGACTAGAGATGTGTGGTTTCGTAAAAGGCTAAGAGAATACCATGTAGCTAGGAGAAACAGGTAGTTGGCAGGAGATGAGCGATAAGGGATGGTGCGGTTCTTTAGGTTGCAGCCATGCCACGAGAATTTGGAGGTCATAAGGAACTAAGCCACAGCAGAGTTTAAAGCCAACTTGGCATTTTGGGAAGTTCCCTGCTGATCCACTAGGAAGTAAAAGTAGGGTCTGCAGTGATAGAGAATAGGGATGGAGGATAAATTGGACTTGAGATGGCCTGAGACATGGGCTGGAATGCGCAGCTAAGGAAGGAGCTGGTGTGGCATCTCAAGTACGGGGCTTTCTGAACTTCCATCACTGTTGGCAGCTTATGCCAGCTGCATGATGTCCTGAGAAATGGTACTTTTCAGCAGCATCCCTAAGATCTATCCACTAGATGGCAACAGCATACACAGCATACACACAACCCAAAACATCTCTGGGTGTTGCCTAATGGGGAAAGGAGGCACGGTGCTGTGCGCTTAATGGCAAAGTATTGCTCACGTGTAAGCTGAAGGCTGGAGAATGGAGGACTGCACGGGGAGAAATAAGTCTACAACCACCACACAAGCAGGATGAGGGTATGCAGATTGCAAGCAGAATGAGGGCTTGTAACTGGCTTGCAGAGAGGAGATGAAAGGTGAAAGCAAAAACTTAGTCTGGGGGCATGCCTGGGAGGTTGGTGGTACGGGCTCACTGCAGTGGGGCAAGGGGATTCAATGTTAATTAGTCCGGCTGTGAAGGGAAGTGGGTAAGGGTGGTAAGCAGCCAGAGAGAACTGTGACAGGCAGCAGTACCAAGAGCTCTCCCACTGTGTTCTCAAAGCCTGTGAGAATGAACGCCTATAATCTTAGCTCTTCAGGAGGCTGAGATCTGAGGATCATAGGTCAAAGCCAGCCTGGGCTGGAAAAGTCCATGAGTCTCTTTTCTCCAATCAGCCACCCAAAAAAGCCAGAAGTAGAGCTGTGGCTCAACAGCAGAGCTCAGGGACAGCACCCAGGCTCCAAGTTCAAGCCCCAGGCCTGGCATACATCCATGCACACACCATGACCCCAGGGACATGGACAGGCCCTGCAGCAGCCAGACAGAACTGATCCAGAGCCTTGTCAGCTATTTGGGGGAAAGGTAAAGGCTCAAAAAGAAAGATGAGGGTTCTCTACATTTGAAGTCAAATCTCCCAGCAACGGAGGGGGAATGAGAAGAGTGTAGGAGAATCTGCACAGACCAAAAAGAAACCAAGACTCTACACCTACTTTTCAATAAACCCTAGAGGAATGGAAACCAAAGTCTGGAGGGGAGCTAAGTAAGCTTAGGAGCGGCACTTGTGTCAGGTGCTGACAATGGGATTTAAGTCCTGAGGTTCAGAATAGGGGACGGGAGAGGGCAGGAAAGTTGGAGCAGACACGAGGATTAGAACCATGCACGATGGTGACAGGCTCACTCAGAAAAGCATATGAAGAAACTAAGGTCACAGCAAGGGCTCTAGGCAAAGCCACAGCTCAAGTGTCAGCCTGAACTTTTTTTTTTTTGGGGGGGGGGACAGTCTTGGGGCTTGAATTCACAGCTTGGGCACTGTTCTTGAGCTTTTTGTTCAAAGCTAGCATTCTACCACTTGAGCGACAGCACCACTTCCAATTAATGGGAGATAATAGTCGCATGGACTTTCCTGTCCAGGCTGGCTTTGCTGTGATCCTCAAATCTCAGCCAGATTCTAAGTAGCTGGGATTACAGGTGTGAGTACCTCAGCCTGAACTTCTAATTCCCACAGCCAGCAGTAGTGGAACCTGCCACACAGCGCTTAATCACGCGCTCCTGTGGAACTCGGGGCCAAAACTAAAGCATAGCCCCAATGCCCATTGCTCTCAACCTTTCCAAATTCTCTGATCCGTGTGGAGGCTCTGTGCTACCTGCCTCATAGGTGAGCTGTGAAACTCTGACTCATCGTTCATTCCACTCTTTCATCTTTCCCGTGTCTCTACCCCCCCCACACACCTTTCCTCCCCCCCCCCCCCGTGACCTGTTTCCACAGGAAGGAAGAAAGGCAAGAGAGCCTGGCTCCCCCTCAGACCAGGAGAGGCAAACCTGGAGCCATGGTGGCTCTTGTTCCAGTCCATGTCGGCAGGGCTGTAAATGCAAAGTGATGGTGGAGCTCTGAGTCATGGTGAGGCAGCACACCGGGTGCAGTGCCGCTGTCCGCTCCCCGCAGGCCGTGAGCCGCCCTGACCCAGGCTCCTTGGCGCCTTCCCTGGGCTGATGGTCTGAGCCTCGGGAAGGGAACCTCCCTGACTGCAGCTCCATGTACTTCCGTCTCCAAGTATGGCTACGGTTCTGTAATGTCTGGGTCTCACTGACCCTGGGGCAGATGTGAAGGGCAGAAGTTTGGGGACTGGAAGTGCCTGGGGCACTGTGGGCCTTGGCGCTCCACTCAGATGCCTCCTGCCCTCTGAGCCAAGAGCCAGCTTGGAAGATTCCAAGGAGTTCTGAGGACCACAGATGTGAGCACGGGCGAGACCATGGCCGTTCAGCCTGTGCTGTGGCCATTTCACCCTTTCTGCAAAGGCAAGTGAGTCCCGTGGGATGGACTGAGCGAATCTCATGGGCCAAGAAGTGGGAGGGGGGCAGAGGGGCGGGGGAGGCACACCCTGCACTGGAACCCTCACCAGTGTGGATCCTGTATGGAACAGTCCAGCCCATTGCTGTTGAACACAGAAGCATTTATTTTTATTCATCCAACGGGAAAATGCAACATGTCAGGGCATTACAGACAAACTGCAGCAGCCAGACAAGAGGCTCAGTCTACAGCAGAGTCCAACGCACTCAGCATGAAGGAGCCACAGTGTGGGCGCTGCCTGCAGGAGGGAGCCAGGGCAGCGGGGTCCCTTTGGATGAAGGCCAGGCATCTCTGGGCGAGGCACTGATGACAGTCCACACATGCAGGCTGCTGCTTCAACCGCGCCGTCGGCTTAAAGTCCAGAGTCCTACATGTAACCGCAGCCCCGCAGGGGCACCACACTCCATGGTGGTTGTGGTTTCCAATGTTTTTTTTAACATAATACACAACATGAAGTTATTGCCAAGGACGTTGCACTGTCAGTTATACTATGTACACTTGTGTATTCAGAAAAACACAAATAGATACAGATAGGCATTTTAAACAGACTTCTAAATACTAACTTGGCTAGCATCGGACCCAAGTAAGCTACTGCCAGAAGTCCAAAGTCACATGTGTAACCGTGCAATGGGGACAGGTTTCCTACCTACCACTCCCCCGGCACCCCAACTGGGCACCTTCCACATTAGGAGGAAGAAAGCCCTCTCATGAACAGCTCTGGGCCTCGGGTGTCCACAAGCTGCGCCTCCCACCTCCTCTGCACACTGCACTTTCTTGAGAAGCAAGCGTGACGGGTCTCACTCCTCTGGGAGTGCTACATGCCACAGGACAGATAAGTCACCGTCATGGGTATGGGATGGGGTTCCAAGGGCGTAAGCTCCGCCCTCCCCTAGCAATTCCTGACCAAAGCCCCTGGGTTCAGTGAGGGATTTGGCCTCACTTGGGGGGGAGGGGGGGAGGGAGGGGCTGGTGTGTGTGTGTGTGTGTGTGTGTGTGTGTGTGTGTGTGTGTGTGTGTGTTAGATATCTCAGGAGACTTTCTTTCCTGAAAAAATGGCTGGACCCCAACCAGCCGCGTGTGTGTGTGTGTGTGTGTGTGTGTGTGTGTGTGTGTGTGTGGAGATATCCCAGGAGACAGCCACACGTGTGTGTGTGTGTGTGTGTGTGTGTGTGTGTGTGTGTGTGTGTTAGATATCTCAGGAGACTTTCCTTCCTGAAAAGATGGCTGGACCCCAACCAGCCACTTTCAGAGACCCAAGATACCACACAACTGGCCAGGCAGATGAGTGGCCTGAGTTTGGAGATGCTTTGGGAAAAATACAATCAAGCTCCCAAGCTAGAGGGTCTACCCAAGGAAGGGCCAGTGGCAGGAGGGTCCCACCCAGCTCAACCACTCACTTTGCCCCGAGCCCCAGTGTGACTAGCTCAGCAGCCAGCAGA